ATATATATATATATATATATATATATATATAAACACACACACACACGTATATATATGTGTATATAAACTCTAAATATGTATGTATAACATATAATAATATATACATGTGTATTATAAATATTTTATAAAATATGTAAAATAAATGACATTACAATTAAATTTTATGACTTTTATTTTAGTATTTATGTTTTGAAACATACTTTATTTATTAAATGTGTGGTTTGCAACACAACATGAAATATTTAAATATATTGAAATATTTGTTTTCTTGTGTGATTTTGGTCATATTATTCTTTCTTTCTGTTTTTGCTTCCCTCATTAATCTTCGGCCTGCTTTGCATCTGCGTCCAAGAAGCCGAGGTGTTACTTTTCGAGTCTGTTTTACGTCTCACCATGGTAGCCAGGATTATTTAGAACAACAGTAGCTGTATTCAAAGAAAACAATCGCTGGGCTACAACAATTCAGGGCTGTAAAGCTTTTATACGTGTCAGCAGGAGCAGGAACAATCGCTGGCCAACATCCTTGGGGAAAACACTGACAAGATGCAGCTTACCAGGAAGATACTGGATTTGAAACAGGTGGGTGATTCTAGACAACAGACACAGAAATTGCTGCTAAATTCTCAGCAGGCCTCAATTATCACTACTGGAAAACAATTGGATTTTTCTGAGAGAATCTGTTTTATCGTCCAGTTTAGTACCATTGTTTACTTGTCCTGTATGTGAGCAAGTGCTTCTGATTTAAAATGCAGCCTGAGAGGCCGAGACCTTCTGCTTACGCACATACAGGCCGTCATTCATTGTACTTACTCACAGATGTCACTGATTCACTAGCATCCCTAAAGCCAACTGAAACAGCCAGTTGTACTTCCAGGGTTGGGGAAATTAGCCAAAAATGCGGTCCAAGCACCTGGTTAAAATGTGCTTTGGTTAAATGTAAGATCATTAGAGCTCAGGAAATCTTGTATGTCTGACTTTCATCTTTCAGGATGAGCAGCTATATCATAATCTTCATGAGGAGATCAATCATATGGCCCTCAGACTGGAAAAACAGGAGAAGACTGAAGGAAAGACCATCTCAACCCACAGGAAACACATCAACAAAATGTTAGTGCACGTACTGATAATAATAATAATACACGAAAAAGTCTTATTTATATATATATTTTTTGTTTGAGTATATATAAATTATATATATTTACTATAAAATGTAATAAATTATACACAAATATGTGTATACATAATATTTTATAATAATATACATGTATACACAATTATCATTTATTACTATAGAATATAATGTATACGCAGATACATGTGCATATAAATTATTATATATTTTATAATTATATATTATAATAATTCTAATGATTGTAAAATATATTATACTGACTAATTTAAACAAACATAATATATCAATATATTGTGTAAAAAATATATACATAAATGCACAATTATAATTTACTATAATTCATATAATAATAATAATAATAATAATAAAAATTATTAGCAATTTAATAATCATTTGAATAATTATTTAAATATTTATATGTATTTATTAAATAGTTATTTATGTAATATGTATACACAGAGATGCATATAATTATAATTTTTTGTTGTTATATAAATAAATGCATAAATATTCAAATAATATTCAAAGCTAATAATAATAACTATTTTTATTATCATTATCATTACTGTATGAATAATTATAATTATATGAATACATAATAAATAATAATTATGCAAATAACTTTAATTCGATAATTACATGATTTAAAACAAAAAAATAACTTATTAATTAAAATAAAATGTATTATTTGTCAACTACCTAGGTGGCTGAAGGCTCAGTCGCACTTGAAGGAATATCACGAGAATCTTCAGCTTGCCCTCGTAGTCTCGTCCTTCTACCAGCAGGCCGATAACATTGTCTGTTCCATCAGCAACATGGTAATCATTTTCCTTCGTTGAGCTATTTCTGTTTAAAACCCCACAGGAAACCCAGTATCTGTGCCATTTCATTTCGACGTGTCTTTTGATACGATTATAACCCAACTGTGTCTGTATGTTGACATGCTGATGCAATCTAAGAATGTTATTTACGGTTTGCTCTCATTTTTTAACTTCTCTTCCAGAGAAAAAGCCTCTCAGCAAGCAACGGAGTGGAAAACGCCAGAGATGGGGAAATTCGGGACATTGCCAGTCAACTCATGGTGCGCGATCCAAAATTCACATCCCATTATAGTCACACGAGGAGCTGTGCTGTGAACACGCTGACCCTAAACGCGTTAGTTCACGGTCCAGCTCTGTGTCAAACACCAGCCTGACGCCCGCGTTTGCTTTCCTGTCATTCTGTGTGGTTTCAGATGCTGGATGTGAGCGTTTCCCAGCTCTCCAACCTGCACCCAGCGCTGGTGGCCCGCGTCGCACAGAAGCAGAGCGAGGTGAAAGACTGCTGGGCCGTCCTCCGGAAGACTCTCAGGTAACTCAGACTAGCAGAGTTATGAACCACGCAAGCCCTACGGTGTCCTCTCAGTAGGGCTGAACCTGAATAGTCGAAGATTCGATGCTTCGATAGGAGGAGCCTGATTCGATACCAATCTCACAGTCGAATATTCGCGGGGTGTTATGATCATGCCATTTTGGCTATATGGGGGTGCTCAATGTCTGATTTCACGTAGAACTACTGGTTTTCTCCCAATAAGTTAATATACAGCCTATTATCATAATGCTGCCAATAAGAATCTGAACAGAAAGAAGCTTTTAATAAATATTTATTAATGAATACATCCAATTACCCCTGTGACAGATTTAAAGGGGTCATATGATGCGATTTCAATTTTTCCTTTCTCTTTGGAGTGTTACAAGCTCTTGGTGCATAACGAAGATCTGTAAAGTTGCAAAGACTAAAGTCTCAAATCCAGAGATATATAATGTTCTTTTTAGCAGCATCATATGACCCCTTTAAGTTTCACTTTCCGTAATCCGTGACCGACAGAGGAGCATTTTGGCAGCAGGGATTTAAATCTTTAACAAGATTCAAATTGACACAGGCAGAGTGAAAGACGGGATTTTTTTTCCCGATCAGGTAGGGTATAAGTGATTTCAAAACATTTCTTCCGGTTCTAATTTGATTTTTGGATGCTGTGAACATAGGCGCCAATCCCGTGGGTGCTCGGGATCATAAAAACTCGAGATATTATTTATTCACTATCATTTTGACGAAACTGATCTGGCAATCTCTCCAATGCATACTTGTGTTTGCGCTCTGGAGAGAATCAAAAGGTTTATTTTTGTCCAGTGCTTAGTCCAGTGAAAGCTTGCAAATCCTGTCGTTGTAACAAAACTTAATGAGATCACAGTGAAGACGAGGGACAGCTTTTTAGTGATTATAAAGGCAGTGCTCTTTGTGTGCTTTCTAGACTATAGAGCCTATAATCCATTCAGAATTTGTATAAAACTTTTATTTTTCGCCCACATACACGCTGCAAAGTTTCGGGAATGACATCTGCGTATTTATGCAGGATTCGCACTCGAAAGAACAATGAACGGGACAAAAATATACGTGAAAATGTATGTGAATTGAGGCTAGAGCACACTTTCTAAAGTACCCTCGGTATTTAATTCTGGAACTGGGCCTGGATAAAACTAGCTGTGTTTGAGCAGTTTTCACAGCAGCTCATATTTAGGCTATCGCATGGAGGTTTATGTGGCAGTGTCAGACTCTGTTCCATGTTTTGTCTGTGTCTTGCTCCCCAGGTGTTTTGTTCATTTCCTACGTGAAAATCTCTATACAGTTAGAGTAAACATGCACACAGGTTTCTTCGAATACTTCTTGCATCTGTTGATTTCATCTTGTGTGGATGTTTGGTTGTATTTAGTGCAAATCTCCGGTTTCATCAGCTCTGATAAGTAATAAACAACATGATATGCGGCCGGCTGATATGTTAACTATATTTTAATCACAACATAAATCATTATTTATTCCGTTTGTATCTGCGAGGCGTCCGTTACACATTTTCCCTGTGTGTTATCTTCAGTATTTATGACTGTTGAATGTCTGACTACTTGACTCTTGGTAATGTATTTTCCCCCCGCCCCCAAACATATGATTCTATCCTAAGTCAGGGACACCCCTACCTCTCAGGGACAAGAGCCATTTCCCTCCTTAATAGGCTCTCCACAGAGCCGAAGGCACTTTCCACAATCCTGCTTTTGTTGCATTTGTAATAGAGCCCTGCACTGGCCTCAAATATAAGCCCTAGCCCGGCCCTTGTCCGACAGCTTATCAGAATTACCGGCCCGAGTCTTTTTTCCCCCTTCTCCCAAAACCAAATTAGCTTTCTCAAATCATCACGACTTGCCTAAAATAAAATCTATAGATATAAAACATTCCAAGCATATAACGATGTTTAACATTAAACCTAGATAAATGTGCACTGTATCCAATAGTTTGTGCGGAGAGTGGAAGCTAAAGCGTGCTTTGCAGGACATGGAGACACCAGCGCGATCACTTGCATTTTTTTCAGTGGATACGCCGTCATTTTTGCTCATAAAGGTAAGAGTAATACACCATTCGTAGCTGTAAAGGGTCTACTTTTATTTGTGTGCACTCACAATATCAACAAAACGTTGTGCTTTTATAACCGACTCAGAAAACACTAGTTTATTAATAAATAACTCAAATATCTCCTTACTATTTCCTCCTGACACATTCATGGTAATTCCTTTTGCCGGTGCTTTGCGGCGAGCTTTAGCCTATTGCGTGCATTTGAACGCAGAGCTGTTCAGCTGCGCTGACGGCACGCATCCTGCAGCTGGACACTAAACACCATCGAGCTGCTCTTGACAGTTGCGGCAGCACGGTCTCGTGTTGTTTCCACCAGCGCGGCAAATGTTTTTTTTTCATCACTAATTGATGGATGTCTAAAATATAAAAATAAGGAGAAGCCTAAAACAGGCCAGAGGCCCGGCCCGCGTCTGAACTATGACGTGAAAATTGGCCCAAAGCCCGGCCCTAGGGGCATAAAAAAGTCGGGGCCTGTCAGGCCCGGGCTGAAATGCAGGGCTCTATCCCTACCACCAACCGCATGAGACACGGCCAGGAAACTGCTTCCAAATGATAATTAGATGCATATAAAAGATGTGTGCTTATTTTCATAATGCCACCAATCACCAATCTGAATTCTTCCTCCTGATGTTTTGAAACGCTAAACACCAAAACAAACCGTTTGATATGAAATTTAGCTGGAAACGACACTTAAACTCGTTTGTTTGTTTCTTGCAATTTGGCCATTTTATTGCTCCATCAGGCATCTATATTGATTTCATTGTCGTTTGAGGTTTAAAAGTCTGCGATTCTTGTTCCTGCGCCCAGTTAGTCATACAGGGTCCTTAAAAAGACTTAAAACATCATAAATTCAGTTGTATAAAATTTAAGGCCATAAGTCTTAAATGGTACAAGAAAAGTCTTAAATGGTACAAGAAAAGTCTTAATTATAATTTCAAGAAGTCTTGAATTTGAGGACAAGAATCGCGATATGGCTTAATCTGATGATTAAACTTCAAAAGGCTATGATTTTATTGAATAAATATAAGCTGCATGTTTCAAAATCAAAACGTTGTGCGGTTGTTTTATATGAACGTATCTCTGAAGGGAACTGACTGTTTTCAGAAATGTTTGGATGGCATTTTCAATTCATCTTACCTGTAATGCCTGATAAAGTAGCATTTATGACAGGGTTGCCAGGTCTGCAAAACCAAACCAGCCCAAATGTTCAGCAAAACTATCCCAATCATCCCTTCATCAAAATCGCCTTCCAGGGCGATCACTTTAACCCACGGAGTTAAAAAAGGACCTGCGGCAACGGTTTAAAAGTAGTAAAACCACAGACTTGGCAACACCAGGGAAACCGCTATATTTCTGCCGCTCCAAAAGCGCCACCTGCTGGCAGAGAATGAATTTGCATTTTCAAGAAGCCAGTTTGCTTAAATAATAATTGATGCTTTTGACTCATCCATTCTCTTAAAAAATGGTTTAAAGCCTGAAATGTGAAGTTTATCATTTTATAAAACTTTGTTTTAAACTTTATGTAGTAATAAATTATTATTTTTATAATAATGTTTATAATAATTAAGTATTATTTAAATAATTATTAAAAAAAATGTATATATCATTATTCAAATAATTATTAATGCGTTAATAAGAATAAAAAATATATAATATTATTATATTTATATGAATAATTTAAAATAAAATTTGTTTTTATGTAATATAATTATTACACTATATATGTATTATATTTTATAGTAAGAAATTGTAATTATTGTAAGTATTATATAAATTATTAAATACATCTATAAATATTCAGGTATTATACACACCAATAAACAATCTGAATTTTTTCTCCTGATCAGCATGACATATTGAAACACTAAACGCCAAAACAAGCCATTTAATGACATTTTGTTGGAAATGGTGCTTAAACTCTCATTTGTTTGTTTGTTTGTATGTTGCAATGTGGTAACCAAATCCAAATGTGAGCTTATTTTGTACTTTATTGCACCATCATCTAAGGTGTCCGTACTGATTTCATCATCATTTGAAATTTAAAAGTCTGCGATTCCTGTTCCTGAGCCCAGTTAGTCATAATAAATAGTGTGCGTACTGCAGAAAGCTTGCCATCTCCTCCTTATGCCTTTGGTTGAGGATGAAGTATGTTTATAATTAGAGGAATTTATTCCTTATATTAAATGCATAACAGTTTATTTGGGCAAAGCAGATGTTTAATCAAGATGAATTCATGGCAAAAGTTACTAATGGTAAAATAATACACAAGCAGCTCGTTCTGTTCTGTGAATGCAGTAAAAGTTCACAGCCAAGTGGGACGTTTCTGGAGGAAATTAATAAAGAGTTTCTCTATATAGAAGTCATAATATAAAAACAGATTCTGTTAATATGTGGATTTTTAAAGCCGTTTATAAAAGTCCCGGATGTCATTCTGTATTCTATGTTGTGTATGACTTGAATTTGGAGCAGTTAAAGTTCACCTGTCAAACGCTGGTTCTGGTTTTCTTTAACACCTGTGTATTTATGGATTATGTATGACTGGATTTATGAACAGGATAAAGTCAGGCCGGATACTGTATGGTGTTGTTGTTAACATCCACTTGCTCTTAGTCTGCACTATTAATCATTGTCAGATCAGTTGTTACTGTTACTTTTAGAAAAGAGAAGAACTTCTCATGCATCAGTTGTTGTAATCTAGCAGGGCAAAATGTTCCCTAAGAGTGATTTATTTATTTATTATTATTTTTTTTTAAAGTAAGACACAAGTCTCATTGCATGCATTCCAGAATGTAAAAATGTAAGCCTGAGCCTGGATTTGATTATTTAGATTGCATGTTAGGTGCATTACATATTCATTTATTTATGTTTTCATAAATATTTTTAATGTATAATAAATGCTTTTCCTTGTTCTTTATTGCTTATTAGTAGCATTAGCATCATGGTGGCAAACTTTGCAAAGCCAAACACCATTTACATTTTCTTAAGGCAATGTAGACTTAAACTAGTGTGAATAGAATAGAATAGAAATTTAATTTATGTAATTTTTTAAATATTTATATTATATTTATTAATATACATTTTAATTTATTTAATATATAATATTGAATAAATTATAATTGTTAATATAATATATAGTTATGATATAAAATTATATTATAAAAATTATAAAAGTGTATTTATTATGTATATTATACATTATATATAATAATATATAATTAAAATTTAATTAATATAACTATTTATAATTATATATTTTATTAATAATGTAAACTAGTGTGTGTATAATATATAATATAATTAAAATTGTATTAATATAACATTTTTATTTATAGATATATTATTATTATTATTATTATTATCATATTTTATATATAATAATGCTTGTCTTTATTCCTTGTTAGAGGTGTTTTCATTTCTTCTAATTTCTTTATGCTTTGTTATAATTTCTTTACACTTTACATCATTTCTTAAGGAAATGTAAATGTATTAAAACTAGTGTGTGTATATGATATAATATAACATCATACAATTTGTGTATATATGTATGTATGCTTGTGTGTTATCCTCCAAGAGTTTAGCATTTCAAGCTTTAAATCTGAGGAATCTGGTTATTCCCATGTGCATATTTATTTTAAGACATGATTAGATGTTTAGTGGCTTAGTTTTGAAAACATTTTGGAAGTTGCAAATACCAGCTGTGTAATCCGCTATCATCGGTCGCTTACAGTCACTGTATTAAACCTCCGTAGAGTGACAACAGATTAGAGGCAGTGCTGACGCTTCTGTGTTCTTGGCTTGGTCTTGGTTCCTGCTGGCAGCTTAATTTGATGGCTGAGTGTTTGTGTTTGTAGGAACGAAAAGGCAGCTCAGCTCCCCTCCACCTCCTTGTTAACCAGGGACAGCAGTGACCCTGAAACCCCGAGCCAAGAGCCACCCGGCAGCGTGGGAACAGACCCACACAGGATTATGGGAAAGGAGGTTAAAGAGGAACAAAATCGTCTGAAGGGGTTTACGGTATGCAGCTTTCATTCTATTATAATTCTACAAGTATATTCTCGTTCTCTCTCTCATACCACTTGTTTTTCTTTTCGTCGTCCTTTTTGGTTTTCATGCTGAACGGAAATGTTTAAATGACACCAGAGGCCTTTTCACATGTTTCCCAAAGTATTCAGTTCTGTGAATTGATGCATCAAGCTGATGTCATGCAAAGTTATTGATTTCACTAGGATGTAAAAAAGGTGTCTGCTTCGTTGTTTTACGGCAGTTGTTTACTTTACACCGTGTTCAAGCCAAAAAAGTGAGGGATGAAATTTCTCATAATAGTGGTAATAATAGTTTCTAAGCCACGTATTTTACACACTTAAATAATCTGTGCGAATTAATAAATAGTAAAATTGCACTTTTCATGTGGAAGTCAAAGCCATTGTTGCTGCTTGTTTTGAGGTGTTTTTAGCAGTGGTATTTTAGTATTAATTATACACCTTTATAGTATTTATTAATATTTTGAACTAGCTTTTTAATTTCATATTTTATATTATATATTCACATTTTAATTTATTATTTTTAGTCATTTTATGGTTTTGCCATTTTTATTGATTTTAGTGTTTTTATATTTTGTAATATATATTATTATATATTTTATGTACTTTAAATAAACGAATAAATAAATATTTGAAAAAATTTATTTATAATTATATATATGATTACTGTATATTTTTAATATATAGTTATATATATTAAACTTCATTATTTTTCATTATGTATTCCTTATTAGTGGTTATTAGCATTATGTTGGTAACTGAGAAGTGTTTTAGCAGTGTTATTTCCGTACTGGTTGTATACTATTAAAGTATTTATCATAATATCTTAAATTAGCTATTTTTTATATTTTCAGTTGTTCTAAGTTTGTCTAATATTTGCATTTTATTTTATTTCAGCATTACTTCAAACAACAAAAACAGTTTTTAATAGTTTTATTTTTAGTTAACAATAACAGCACTTGTTTTGTCGTCTTGACGTAAGTCATGTGAACGAACTAGGGCTGGGCGATATAGCTAAAAAATGTATCAATGATATAATGTTTCATATCGTTCGGTATCGATAATTATTGACATTTTTTATAACCTTTTTTAAAACAAAAAGCAAAAGAAAAAAATGTTTAAATTTAACCACTGTATTTATAATTAACACAATTTATTGAGACAAACAACAACTATTTTTAGTTTTAACAATCATACACAATAAAAATTAAACAAATATTTAATTTCTAATGTTTTATATGCAGATTAAATAGGTCTTTATTGTATAGGTCTAATTGTCTCCCGAGGGCGCAATGAGCAAAATAATGCAGCACATTTAAATGGTCAACGCAAGTAACTATAAAAACGTGCATTACGTTCTAAATTAACTCATAAATATCAAATATAATTTTGTAAATTGCATAAACAATTATGAACAAAACAGCATCATGTATTTATGCATTGCTTAATCCAAAGAGCCGAAGCGCCATTCACACAGACTGCATTTAAAATCATAAGACGCAGTGAAAAGGAATGTTTGTGTGTGCTGTCTGCATCACTCATAGTACGTGCCTATATCGTGCGCTATATCAAATAATTTTTCTAGCGATACCGAAGAAGGTGTACCGTCGATAAATATCAATACCGTTTTATCGCCCAGGCCTAGAACGAATCTTAAGTGTTTCTACTGCTTAATGCTGAAAAGACCAGCACTTGCCATAATTACATAACAGAGGCTGTAAATGACCTCACTTTAGGCCACACAAGTCAAATACAGTTGCTGCTCTCCTTGGATGATGGTGCAATTTGCCTTTTTTTATTTAACCGAGTCACTAGTTTGTTAGGAGGGGAAAATGTGAGGTTGCTCTTTCTCTGTGTGTTGGTTTGGATGGGATGTGGATGAGTCAGTTTCTGTCATTTATTTTATGACATCCTCTCTATCTAACAAGCCTCGTTGTCTGTGAGACACTGCATTCAGGAAAGCCTTCGGAGGTGTTATTGACACTGGCAGGACAGATCTAGATGTTTCCATTCGGTATGACACGCTTTGATTGTGCTGCAAGGGCAAAAACAGGCCGCCAGGACAAACAGCGTTCTCTCAAAACTCCCAAATCTAGACGTTTTCATATCCTCTCTGACATTATGGCTGTAATAACATATTTTGGACGTACCTGCAGAAAATGGAGGAAAACACTCACTGGATTAAAGAAATAGCAGCATAAACCATTTGTTATGTTACAGGCCATTAGCACTGAAGAAGAGCTTCATTGTGTGTAGTATGATTATCTTGGATGCGTTTCTGGATATTATTATGCCGGTCCTCCCTTTCTCAGTGTTTTTTTTTTAAAGGAAATTAATAATTTTATTCCGTAAAGACGCATTAAATTGATCAAAAGTGACAGTAAAGACATTTATAATGTTACAAAAGATTTCCATTTTAAATAAATGCTGTTCTTTTGAACTTTCTGTTCATCAAATCATCATGAAAAACGAAACGTTTCATAGTTTCCAAAAAAAAAAAAGCAGCACACGACTAATAGAAATTTTAGAAATAGAAATATTAATTATTATTGATTATATACATTTTTATAATATTTGTCAGTATATGTTATAAATATAAATTATAATATGGTTAATTTAAGTAAATTACATATATATGTTAATATAAACAATTTAAATAAATAAAATATTTTAAAAACAATAATGCAAACTAAATTAAAAATATTATTAATATTATTATAGGTCTAATTTCTAATTAATATTAAAGTATCATTCTGAAAAAAGTATCACAGTTTCCACAAAAGTATGAAGTGGCTAGTGCTGGGCAACGGTTAATCGTGATTAATCGCATCCAAAATAAATGTTTTTGTGAACATAATATATATATATGTACTGTGATTATTTATTATGTATATATAAATACACACACATACAGTATATATATTTAGAAAATATTTACATGTATATATTTATATTCATATAATTTATTTAATATATAAATATATTTAATATATAAACATAACATATTTTTCTTAAATATATAAATGCATGTGTTTGTATTTATATATACATAATAAATATACACGATGCACACACATATATTATGTACACAAAAACTTTTATTTTGGATGCGATTAATCGTTGCCCAGCACTAGAAGTGGCACAAATGTTTTCAACATTATAATAATAATAAATAAATAATAATAAATGTTTCTTGAGCAGCAAATCAGCATATTAGAATGATTTCTGAAGGATCATGTGACACTGAAGACTGGAGTAATGATGCTGAAAATTCAGCTTTGATCACAGAAAGAAATTACATTTTACAATATATTAACATAGAAAACAGTTATTTTAAATTGTAATAATATTTCACAATTTTACTGTTTTTGCTGTATTTTTATTAAAATACATGCAGCCTCGGTGAGTATAAAAAGTATTTTTGGTTGTATTTCTGGACCTGCAGTATTTCATACATAAACTGTTGCTGCCAAAAGTCAAGAGTAATTTCCAGTAAAACATGGACTGTCTCGTCCATTTTTCTTTTTTTTTGGACTAGTTTTAATTGTTAGATCCCAACATAAGCTTTTGTTCAGACGGTTTTCTGGCTTGGTTTTGATTGGCACAGTGCTGGCGATGTTCTGGGCTTAAAGCAGGTTTGTAACAATGGCCGCTTGTGTCAGTGCTGGTAGCAGAGGTTACCTGGGTGTATCGTGTATGAGAGCCGTGCTCATTATGCTTTATGGAGACTTTTACTGGGAGACACGAATCCCCAGGACTAACATGATGCCAGACGGCACCACCGGTCCAAAAGCTCGCCATCATCCAACTCCAGTTCTCCTCAGACTGTTGTTTTGCCATGACTGCAGTTGATTGAAGGAGAAAATGAGACCGTTTGTGCAAATACTCACTATAGCACCTCTAGCGTAGTGTTTTTAGCATTAGAAAACTGTTCATTGATGCAGAAAATGACCGCTTAAACCAGCCTAAGGAGCTATAAATCTACTGTATTATATTTGATAAATTAATTTCTAAGGCCGCTAAATGATCAACATGCTTGCTGAAAACCTCTCACACACAATCTACTACATGCATTCTGTCGTCTGATTAATAGTTTTGACGCTTTTTGTCAAGTAAAAGCTCTTTTAGTGTAATTGTGCAAACATAAGCCTTCAGCTCGTGCTTCATGTGTGTTACGTAGGCCGTGTCATTTGAAATTTTTAGATCCTGTCAGTTTTCCACCGGAGCCGCTCCCGTCAGTTATGTGTTCTGTGCGCAACTCAAATACTCCACCCAAATTTAAAGGCTGCTGTTGGTTAATGAAGATTTGACGAAAGAGCTCGCGGCTCAATTGGACTCTTGTCGTGTCAGAAAGTGATAAGACTTTCAGTTTTATGGGCGTCGCCATTTTTTATTTTACTTTGGTCACTGTCGCTATGGTAACTGGTAAGGAATACGGGCTTGACTCCCGTTGCACGTTCATACAGACAGTATTCTGAACACAACTGTAAGCTGCAGTGTGAACGGGACATTTCGAGACACACACCTGTAAAGACAATGTGGTTGTCAATCCCAAAAACTGACAGTGTGAACGAAACCATACATATATTATGTAAACAAAAACATTTATTTTGGATGCGATTAATCGTTTGACAGCACTAATATAAATATATTAATAATATATAAATATAACAATTTAAAAATACTACAAAAAGTGTTTTTTGTTAAGTATCATATTTGATACATTTGGTTTTGGGCACTTTATTTAACCAGCTAAACACCAGTTTGACCAGTTTGACCAGATTGAGAGACTAACTTAACCCTGTAAAGCCTGACATGAAATAATTGGTGACGTTAGTCTCTTAATCTGGTCAAGCTGGTGTCTAGCTGGTTAAATAAAGTGCCTAAACCCAAATGTATCAAGTGTGTCTGTATTGTTTTTTTTCTGATCATTATTTCATGTCAGGCTTTACAGGGTTAAATTAGACTCAGTCTGGTCAAGTTGGTGTTTAGCTGGTTAAATAAAGTTCCCAAAACCTGACGACCAACTAACCTGGATTAATTTAAGCTGTTTGTTTCAGTTCAATCATGTCTAAGCCTGTGTATTTTCACGCATTATGAGGCACCGCGTCCATCCGTTGGTGAGCATGTGTGTGTTTGTGTTTAGTGACGTGAGGTAAACATGACGAAGAGGCCTGTATTTCCCTCTAATGGCTCCCAGATGGCTCGCCACATGCTTCATATGTGCTACGAGAGCGTTTGGCTGACATCGCTCCACAACTTTACACTGAAAGACTCTCAGAAGAGCTGATGAAATACGCCACTAATTACTATCAGCGCTGGGAACGAGCAGAGGAAGCCCTTCAAGAGCTGCTCGGTGACATAATTCACTGTCCCTTAGTTTTCATCATGCAGGAAAGCCTGGTGTTTGTATAAAGCTTGGATTGATTTGAAGCAGGCGTGTGGAGAAGAGACGTCGGAGCATGTAATTACACCACGCTTGTAACTCAAATGCTTCACACTCACAAATAGCCCGATAACGTGCCGCTGTGCGATTAAACTCGAGGCTTGCACTCTTTGAGTGGCGTGTTTATAAATGCTATTAGGCCTTGTAAATTTGCTGCGCTCTCCAAATGGCACTTTCTCAGGCGACTGTTTCTTTCTTTCTCTCCGGCATCACGCGTTTCTCTCTCCCAAACTCTGACTCATTCATCCTGAGCTCATAATCAGAGAATGCCCAGTTTAGATTCATATGCCGCCATAAAAGCAGAAATGAGCCGATTGGGTGTATATATACATACAAACACATGCATGTATATATTTCAGAAAAATGTTTGTTTATATAATAAATATATTTATTTATAATATAAATTATATGAATATAAATATAGACATGTAAATATTTTCAAAATACTGTATGTGTGTATTTATATATACATAATATATAAACACGGAACATATACTATGTATAACACATATATTATGTAAACAAATCTTTTATTTGGGATGCGATTAATCGCAATTAATCGTTTGACAGCACTAGTTCAAAGTGAACCTTTGCTTAAAATAAGTACAAATAGCATTGAAGTTTGGGGTCTTTACGATTTTTTTTAATGCTTTTAAAAAGTATCTGATACTCGCAAAGGGTGCATTTTTTTCTTTTTTCTTTATATATATCTTAAAATGTAATTTATTTCTATGATCAAAGCTGGATCATAACTACAGTCTTCAGTGTCACATGATCTTCAGAAATCATTCTAATATGCTGATTTGCTGCTCAAGAAACATTTCTGATTATTATCAATGTTGAAAACAGTTGAGCCACTTCATATTTTTGTGGAAACCGTCGTACTTTTTTCTCAGAACTATACTTTAACATGAGTTATATTATACTGATAAATGTTATAAAATGAATACCATCAACAATAATTAATATTTAATATTAATAAATATTATTCATTATTAATTACAGTTATTATTTAATTATGCCTTTTTAATATTAGTAATATTAATTAGAAATCTTAAATATAAATTATATTTGCATAAATTTATATGAATTACACACAAACACACACAGATAAATGTTGTTTATTTAATAACCTAGCATCAATAAAAATAGTTACTCTATTAAAAAATGTTGGTTATTTTCCCCAATACTTGTGCGTGCTGTATATTGTTATGATTATCAGAGTATCATGTTGTTCATAGCTGATGTAATGCGCATGAAAAAGCAGTGACCTTCTACTCGAGACATGACGGCGATTATACAGAATAATTATTTTCCCATGTTGGCTTCCTCATGTGACGCTGGAGCCTGTTTAACAGCACTGCTCACTGTAACTTTCCAGAAAAGGTAATTGGCTTTCTTTCTGGGTTTACATCCACACTGTCCACACGCTGATTGATATTCAGACCCGGCTTACCAGCCAACCTCATCAGTATCACGGAGGACCACCGTGTTTTAAACAAGCACACAAGGGTCCGTTGTAGGTGTAGTCTGCTGGATGAACACGCAGCTTGTGTTTCCCTCCGCAGGCCGGGAGAGACACCGAGCACTGCAGGAAGCCCTCAGACAGCTGGGATGCAGGAGAGATGGCAGCCCTCAAACTCCACACGGCCGCTGAAAGGTGACATTTTTTACTTCGGAAAAAATTTTGCACACATGCAAATTAAAGATGCATGCTAAATAGAGGTCCTGTGTTTGACTTTACAGCGGGAACGCGCCGAGGCCCGAGTCCAGTGGCCACACACCGCTCCACACGCAACTCCAGAAGTTCACCGTTTCTGCAGACAAGGTGCCTATTTATTACTTCACCATTACACAAGACTTACACAATCGCTTATGCTGCGAAAAGAACAGAGGAGCTCTTCACTGCGGTTCAGCTGAGAGTTCGGATTCCTCTGGAATAAACTCATGAGAGGTTGATCGATGGGTCTTTGCTAATTGCTTGAGGATCTGCTAGTGTATGTGACTTCCAGGAATTGTTCTGGCTTGAAAACGCCGCCAGCAGTCAGCGGTTCAGAGGTCAGCCAGGTCTAAATAAGGATCTCTCATCTCTTTCTGATAGAAATATGTCTTCCTGTTTTTTCATTGAATGTGACGCCTCGGTTCTGTTCTAAAACCTAGTCAGCTGTATAGAAAGCATTTAGGCAGAATAGGCATAGTAGGTGCGCTTGTGACAATTAATGAAATTAGTTATTAATCAGACTTTAAAAATAATAATAATTAATACATTATATATATATATTATTTATTGATGTACATATAATATATATAATTACTTTTTTTATACTGATAAATGTTATAAAATTACTGTAATTATCAAATTTTATAATAACTAAATATTATAAATTAGTAGTGATCAATAATAATAATAATAAATAACGAATATTAAAATTATACTTTGTTTATTATTAATTGGAAATCAGACTTAAAATATTATTTTTAATTTAATTTGCATGAATTTTTATATAAATTGTTTATATTAACTAATATATCCTAATTCGTTTAAAAATGGCAATATTATAAATGTGTATTATACTGATAAATATAAAAATGTATACCATTTATCAAATTCAATAATTACATTAACCGTAATGAGAATTACTATTTTTTTAAATTATACTTTGTTTAAATGTATTAATATGAATTAAAAATCTGACTTTTAAAACAATATGAATATTATGTAATGAATAAATATAAATTATATTTCCATCAATTTTATTTTCAGAAATTATATGTATATTAACTAGTATGTATTTATACATAATTTAATTATGATTTGAAATAGCAATATTATAAAATGTTATTATACTGATAAATATTATTAAAATAAATATAATTATCAAATTATTATTATTATTATTGCTATATTACTATAAAGTTATACTTAGTTTAATATTATTATTATTATATACTAAAACTTAATAAACTTGGTTTAGAATTAATATTTTTAGAATTCAATAACTTAAGTATCATTAAAAATAGTTCTAGTGAAAATGTAGCTTATTTTCATATTTCACATTTGTGTGTGCTGTGTATTATGATCATTAGAGTGTTGTGTTGTTAGCTAATGTCTAACTATAGGAATGAGTCAAAGGTGCATCTCTAGTGCAGTTCATGTGGAGTAGACTGCTGTCTATGTAGGGGAGTCTCTAGGTGTTTTGAACAGAGCCGCTGTGTTCATGTTCTCTTTGTATTCTCCACAGACTCTCTCCTGGCTCAAAGACAGTGTTGCGATGGCCACTCAGATCTGCAGTTTGGCCGGACCGAACGGTTTTGAAGCAGCCAAGAGGCATCAGGCCTCACTGGAACAGGATATCCTGTCCAACAGAGCCAGGATAGAGCTGGTCAAGAAGGTGAGCACTGCTGTCAGTGTGTTAGCGCTGGGAGGTTCACTGGCTTTACACAACAAGTGTGCATAGATACCTCATCGTACACTAACATTTGTCTATTGGTAATGCACTTTTTGGAAATTAAACATGACTTAAGTTGTTGTGTAAAAAAAAATCAAATTAAGCTACTTTTTCCAACAAGTAGAAGTGTATTGCAGTGATTCCTTACTGCATGCCACATTTTATTGAGAGAATAAATCCTCAAGGTTTTTTTTTTTTTTTAATTATTTAAATTTTCTAGTTTTAATCATAATTAAATTGAAGCAATGAAAATGTGTACGATTGCGATTTGTGACCCGTGCTGGCAAAATGAGTCGGAATGAGCACATTTTCAAAAAATAGTTATTTTTATTTTCACATTCTCCAATAAATTACCTTCAAAATTATATATGATTGGTTGGAATCAGACGAAAAATGACTGAGCTACAGCCGTTTGAAGGCGATAGAGTCAGTAGATCTGATTTAGAGGAAAATCGAGTTAAAGTTTTCTGAAGATTCCAAAACAAAATCACCTAGCAACGTTGCATACTTTCCTCCAATTCTTTTCTTAATAATAATAATTACTATATTATTAATCACAATATAGCTCTTTTTACATTCTCCAATAAATTACCTTCAAAATTATATATGATTGGTTGGCATCAGACGAAAACTGACTGAGCTACAGCCGTTTGAAGGCGATAGAGTCAGCAGATCTGATTTAGAGGAAAATCGAGTTAAAGTTTTCTGAAGATTCCAAAACAAAATCACCTAGCAACGTTGCATACTTTCCTCCAATTCTTTTCTTAATAATAATAATTACTATATTATTAATCACAATATAGCTCTTTTTATTTTATCTTTGTTATTCAAAATCAGAACAAAGATGCAAATAAACAGTAGTTTAATCAAGTGCAGCGAGTGATTCCGTCTTTTCTTTTAAAGTTTGATTAACATTGAGACAGATCTATATTAAGACCTACTGTAATTTTATCGTGACACAGGCAAAACAATTTTTTGGGCCCCCCTTCCTTATTAATAGGCCTATGTAATATTACCACCCCAGCAAACAAAAATATTTTGTAATCAGTGGAAACGGTTACAGTGTTGTCTATCACAATAATTGCTTGCATTCATTCAATAAAAATCGAATATCTTAATTTGTTTGAGAATGGAGAAAGACCATTCCATTAATAGGCTCCGGAGTCGTGGCCACATTCACTAAATAAAACCAAATAATCCAGACATAAGATGAAATCAACAGATGCAAGAAGAATTCGATGAAGCCTGTGTGTATGTTTACTCTAACTGTATAGAGATTTTCACGGAGGAAATTTGTCAGACTTTGAAGCATAGCCTACTGCCACATCAAACTCCATGCGATTGCTTAAATGTGTGAAGCTGTCCCTCGTCTTACTTCATCGTGCGATCTCATGAAGTTTTGTTATAATAAAAGAGGAATCGTGAGCCTGCACTGGACAAAAATAAACCTTTTGATTTTCTCCAGAGCACACAAATATACATTGATTTGCCAGATCTGTATGATAGTGAATAGATAGGCCTAATATCTGAACTTTTTTGGCGCCTATGTTCACAGAATCCAAAAATGTAATTAGGAATGGCTGAAATGATTTGAAATTTTGTACCCTACCTGATCGGAAAAATCCAGTCTTTCACTCTGCCCGTGTAAATTTGAGTCTTGTTGAAGATTTAAATCCCTGACGCTCCTCAGTCGGTCAAAGATTACAGAAAGTGAAACTTAAATCTGTCACAGGGGTGGTTGGATTTATTCACGCACATTAAAAATATTTATTAAAAGCTTCTTTCTTTTCACGTTCTTATTTACAGCATTATCATAATAAGCTGTATATTAACTTCTATGTGAAATCAGACATTGAGCACCCCTATATAGCCAAAATGGCATGATCTTCATTTCTTAACACCTCTGCTAATTTGTTTGAGAATGGAGAAAGACCATTCCATTAATAGGCTCCGGAGTCGTGGCCACATTACCACTTCTGGAGTGCATTATTTCTCTAATAATTTTAACGACTGATGTTAACACAGAGGGAAAATGTGTAACGGGCACCTCACAGATGCAAACGGGGTAAATAATGTTTTATGTTTTGATTAATAGATAGCGAACATTGGCCGACAGCATATCATGTTGTTTTTACTTCAGAGCTGATGAAACTGAAGATTTTAGATTAGATTCAACTTTATTGTCATTGCACATGTAAGGTACAAGGCAACGAAATGCAGTTCGCATCTAACCAGAAGTGCAATACGCAGTAAGTACAGGATATACAGTGTCTACAATATGTTACAAATGTACAATAAATATACAGATAAGGCAGTACTATGGACATAATTTACAGATTTTTAAATACTATCAGCATGATATACAGATAGGTATACTATGAACATACTATACATATGGATTATGTAATAAGTGTATGTACACTATAAGCAGAAACTATGAACATATGAACATCATTTACAAATGAATATGTAAGCGATACATTAAGCTGTACAAAACACTAGTGCAATGGAAATTTAAAAGATTTGAAATTTTGTACCCTACCTGATCGGAAAAATCCAGTCTTTCACTCTGCCCGTGTAAATTTGAGTCTTGTTGAAGATTTAAATCCCTGACGCTCCTCAGTCGGTCAAAGATTACAGAAAGTGAAACTTAAATCTGTCACAGGGGTGGTTGGATTTATTCACGCACATTAAAAATATTTATTAAAAGCTTCTTTCTTTTCACATTCTTATTTACAGCATTATCATAATAAGCTGTATATTAACTTCTATGTGAAATCAGACATTGAGCACCCCTATATAGCCAAAATGGCATGATCTTCATTTCTTAACACCTCTGCGAGTATGTATATATATATATATATATATATATATATATATGCATGCATATGTGTATATATAAACTCAATCCAATAAACAAAACTAACACTAGCTTGATTTTATTGCATTTTACAAAACGTATAGCAATACTATAAAATGTATATTTATATTATACTGATAAATATGATAAAAATGAATATCATTATCATATTTAATACAAAATTAATATTAGCCCTTAACCATAATGATAATTACAATTACTAAAATTATACTTAGTTTAATATTATTAATATTAATTAGAAATCAGACTTTTAAAATAATTTGAATATTATTTAATTAACAAATGTAAATTATATTTGCATAATTATTATTTTTTTTATGTAAAAATGTTCATTCAAACCTCTTGTTTCCATCTAGGAGGGTTACAGTCTGGTGAGGGCTCAGCATCCGGGCAGCATCAAGATCCAGGAGTTTCTGAGTCAGCTGGAGGTTCTGTGGGACGAGCTGAAGAGAAGGCATGAGAGGAACGGTCTGGTCCTGAAGGTCTCAGAGGAGCTCAACTATAGGGTACATATATCTCGTGTTTCCCTGAATGTTTGGAATGGCATGCCTTCTGTTGTTTAAAGAAAATAGTATGCAGTATGTATACAGAGCAAAATATGCCATTTATTATGCCAAGAAATGCCCACACAACTACATTTGCCAAAATGTACAATATACAACTAGAGCGCACTGTGGAGTACTGCATCCCATAATGCAGTGCGTGCAAAATTGAGAATACATTTCCAGTGTGATGAGCAAGAAATGCTATCTATCATGATTTGACTTTTTTTTTTTATTATTAAACTGTCAAAAAATTACACAAAACTGGAATAAAAATGCAAAAACAGTATTACTTTACAAGATGGATTTAAACATGCAACGTAACAAGGTTATGTAACAAAAATGTAGCAGATTATTTATTGTTTGAAATATTGATCATTGCATTTTGCATACTGTTTCACATAAATAGTAGACACTGCACAGTGTATTTTGCATGAAGAAAATTTATGTAAAAAAAAAGTGATGTGTGTGTGTGTGTGTGTGTCCAAATTACACATTTAATTTATGCTAATTACATAATAAAATATAAATAAAAAATATCGCAATTTATTGTTTTGTTGCATTCAATATTGGCTTTATTACAGTCTTGAAAATGTAATAGGGAATGCAAAAAAAATTAAATGAAATGTTGCTGCATTACAGTGATTTTTTGATGGAAAATGTGCTTAATTATCTTAAAAATAATGTCACAATGCAAAAGTTGTAAGTTGAATACATATAATACAAATAACACAATGGCAGGTAAACAAAATGAAAGTAACATAAAAAGGGCAAAAATTTAAATAAATTAAATACTAAATTAAATATTTGTATTTTTTATCTTTTTGACTGACTATTTCATTGGATTAGATATTCTACACAAAATGTGATTTCAAATGCAAAATAACCATATTTTTGCCGAATGCATGCAGTTTGTGAATTGTTCAGTATACAGTCAGTCACCCTGCATGGAATGTTATAGCTCATAATGCAGTGTGGGATAAAAAGTAAAGTCTGCTCTGCCTGAGTGTATTTGTGATTTGTGCATTGCAGAGAACAGACCGTCCACAGCAGCTGTGTTTAATTGATAATTGCGAGTTGTTTGGCTGTGATTGGCAGGTGGTGCGGATGCTGCAGTCTCTGGCCAGTCTGGAGGCGTGGTTGGAGGCGGTGGAGCTGTCCATCAGGCAGACATCTCTGGCTGGAGACCCCGAGTCCGTGAGCGTGGCGGAGCAAGAGAGCTGCCAGCTGGAGCAGGAGCTCGAGGCCAGACGTCTGGAGCTGCAGAACCTCAGACAGGAAGTAGATCATCTGAGCAGTCAAAGACATCTTCACACTCCGCTGCTTCCTGCACGGCTGAAGGACGTGGAAATGAAGTATGTGCCGCTGGTTCGATACGGATAGACGTTTATGCTGCGGTGTTTGGATGTATGAGCGTTGGTGTTCTTTCAGGTTCAGCAGTGTGCAGATGACACGTGAACGTGCGAAACGGAGGGGTAGGGGTAATGGGTAGAAATGGGATTGGGCCTAAGTGTTCACTATTCTCTGTACTATTCGTCTTCTCCTTGTTTCCCAGCATGCCATGGTGTCAGCGCACGTGGAGCAGTGTCTGCAGCGCTGTGCGGAGCTCGCTGTAGATGTGCTGGAGATTGAAAGTGAGATGGCTGTGAGATGTGAGCCGGATCGCTGTGGTCTGGATGACCTGCAGGAGTACCAGGACCAGCTGGAGGTATGGGCGCACTGAACGGTACTGCAGGACTACCAGAGAAAAATGTTGCAAGAGTTTAGGGTGAATCTTACAAAACCTGGCTCACATTTTACCTTATTTTTAGGACAAGTAAAATATTTTGCAGTACTACCTTGTTTTTTATGAGTTAATAATTTTCTCCTGACAATCTTATTGCTGTAATGCACAAACGCAAACACACACACACACACAAATAGAATTAAATTAAATTTAAAAATATTTATGCATAATGGTAGTGTTGTTTTTCTGCCCTCAATTTATCCTTTTTATTTAATAAAAATAATTTTTTACAGCAATTTTCATTTATTACTTAATTGTCATGAAAATAATCACATCACAATAATTATAAATATATGATATTATTATTATTATTATTATCATTTTTATAATAATGTATTAATATTATGATTGTAATGTGATTATTTTTTATTTGACAATTAATGCAAATTAGAAAAAAAATGTTTTGTAATGTTGTTATTATTATTATTATTGTGATTATCATGATGTGATTTTCATGACAGTTAAGTAACAAAAAATGAGAATTCTTTATTTCTTAATAATGATAGTAATAATATTAATTATTATTATTATTGTGATTTTTTTTCATGACAATTTAGTAATAAAAATAAGAATTACTATATAAAGAAAAAAAGATTTAATAAGAAATAATAATCATTTGTATTATTATTATTAGTAGTATTATTAATTATAATAATTAGTAGTAGTAGTATTGCAAAAAAAACAAAAAACTAAACATATAGCTGATTTTATTCATTCAGATTTGTATTGAAAATGTTACCGTTACCTTTTGTATATATATATATATATATATATTTTTTATTTATTTTTTTTTTTTTTAAAGAAAA